AGATAATATCATTGGAAAGTTTATAGAAGAAGTGGATATAACAAACTATCGTGATCTTTTGAAAACAGCCAAAAAAAAAGATGAACTCTATTTTAGATCATCTGATTCCTCGGTACTTAATGATAAAAGCACTAATGAATCAACTAATGGCAGTGACAGTAGATTAGTACATAATCATATCGACTTTTTTTCGACTGTAGAAAACATTTTCACTCAATTCAGACAAGAAACAAGTCGATCATATGGAAGTCTTGAATTTATTGGTGATCCTAATTCAAAATTACTCATAATCACCCTTGGTTCTGGTTCATTCCATTTAAAAAAAGTCACTAATAAAAACTCCAAAGTCGGTATAATACGGATAAGGATATATCGTCCTTGGTCTGAGAAACATTTTCTTGCTAATATTCCAAAAACGATTCAAAAAGTAGCTGTATTGGAACAAGTTATTGCACGTACGACTAAATGGACTCCATTATATCTTGACGTTGTTTCAGCGTTTCAAAATCGTGCTCTTTGGTCAGGTGAAGCGCCGGCCATCATTAGTGGAAAGTATGGAACTTTTTATGAAGAATCTATTAATACTGACGTTACCTCGTTGTTTGAAAGCTTCGAGTCAGGTGAATTACGACAAAACTTTATTGTCGGAGATGATGATGACTCGACATCTCAACAATTAAATGGTGTAAATGGTCATTCGACTCATATAATCGAAGCACCGAATATTGAAAAACCGTATCTCAAAATGCTTGAAGAAGTCTTTAAAGATCGTTTGTATATTGCAAATTCTGGTCATTCAAATATTGTTAAATTAACGCCTGAATTCGCATTCGGAGTTTTGATTGCCAAACTTCAAAAGCGTGCACAATTTGCGGATCTCGTTGCGCGTGCGGTGAAGGATACCTCTATTTCTATTCAAGAGCCTTTGCTAAAAGCTTTATCGCAATGGCTTCTTTATCAAGATGATGCTGAAAAATCAAAGAAATTTGGTGATGAAGCCATTGAATCTCTTAGTAAAGTTCATGATAGTCATACGATACTCTCAGAAATTTATAATCATAAAGATGAATTCACAAAATCTGCACAATGGATTATTGGTTCTGATGCATGGACATATGATATTGGTGAATCCGGTGTTCATCACGTAATTTCATCTGGAAAAGATATTAATATCCTGATAATTGATTCTCAACCTTATACAACCCGTGCTGCTGCTGATCCTGAAAAACGTAAAAAGGATATTGGTTTATATGCGATGAATTATGGTGATGTTTATGTTGCTTCGGTGGCAATATATTCATCATATACTCAAGTTCTACATTCTCTAATGGAAGCTGAAAAGTTTAAAGGACCTTCGATCGTATTAGCATATATGCCTTATTATAATGAAAATGATAGTTCAATCACAGTTTTAAAAGAAACTAAACTAGCCGTTGACAGCGGTTATTGGTCACTATATAGATGGAACCCAGCGTTAGAAAAGGAAGGCAAGGAAGCTTTTACCCTTGATTCCGAGAAAATTAAACAGGAACTTAAAGATTTCCTTGATAAAGAAAACCTTCTCACCCAGTTAACACGTTCTAAACCAGAATTATCTACAAATTTAACAAATTCACTTGAATCAGAAATAAAATTACGTCAGAAATCATTCGCGTTATCTGCATATGAAAAGTTATTAGGTGGTTTAACTGGTCCACCACTTTTAATTCTTTTTGGTTCTGATAATGGTAATGCGGAAGGTCTCGCAAAAAGATTGCATAATGGTGCTAAGGCCCGTGGTGTTAATTCGCGTTGCATGCCAATGGATGATTATCCCATTGAAGATATTGCTTCTGAAAAGAATATAGTATTTGTTGTTTGTACGGCTGGTCAGGGTGAATTTCCTCAAAATGCCCGTGAATTTTGGAAAACAATTTCAACTACAACAGATATTTCTTTTTCAGAAACTCAATACGCTGTTTTTGGTCTTGGTGATAGTAAATATTGGCCAAGAGAAGAAGATATAATTTATTATAATAAACCTGGAAGAGATTTAGATGGTCGATTGGAAATTTTAGGCGGAAAAAGACTTTTGAGTCTTGGATTAGGTGACGATCAAGATGCTGATGGTTATGAAACGGAATTTCAAGCATGGGAACCAGAATTTTGGA